TGGTAACGCGGAGCTCAACTGATGTTTTGGAATGTCCATCGTGATCGCCTCAACACTTCTCACACTTCAAAATAATATTCTGGGAAAAATTTGGCCAGAATGGTAAACGTTACAGGAACAAGTTTCGATGTCTGTATGCGACTACAAACAATGTGCAAGATAACAAAAGGCAGTGGAAGAACGTAAGTGGTCGAGGGACACGATGTTCTTTTCCTTTCGTTCAGAGCTTTCGTGAAGAAGTCTGACCATCCGGCGGCGGTCGTCCAGGTGTTCGTTTGACGTCCCGAGGGATCCAGTCGGTAACCGCTCTGGTCCAACGGTCATCGCAAAATCGCATGACGTGTCCGGCCCACCTTATCTTCGATTCCTTGGCGAAAACGGCAGCGTCCCTGATCTTCGATCGTTGGCGTAGTTCGGCACTCCGGATTCCCCTCTGCACTTGCGTGTATAGGGTTACTCCTAGCATCGTCCTCTCGGACGGACAGACGACCGTTTAATTAACGCTGACTCGTGTCTGGCCCTTGTGCAGAGATACCAAGTCATCTGAGGCTTAATTATTTTAGGTGAGGACGAATTCACGATGAAAAAGCAACCCATTTCAAATTAACCTAGGGATGGTGAGTGGTACACGAAAGAAGGAAAAACCATGAACGGCCCAGAACCCGAGAAATGGGACCCCTTCCTTGCCCGTTGATTTGAGCATTGATGCGACTCTCATCGCTGTGCCCTCTTCAACACTACGCTCTCTCTCACCTATCTAATCACCACGTAGACCTGCGGCGAGTGATCAGATGATCGGTGGGCGTGCACTGGCCCACCGCGCCAAGATTGAGCCTTAATAGGTCGCCGAGGTCAACTCCTTCGGTGCCAATTGCGCTTCAGTCGCACCCTTAGGAGGTCCGCGGGTCCCTCAACTAGGTGAATTACTCCTTCTTCGACTTTCATTCTAATCGTGAATTCGTCCTTTAAGGCAGGAAGGACTGCAGAATCGAAGAGGTATGCAAGGAGCCGGATGCACACAGTTATGGGCGAAAACGTTCGTGTCATGTAATTGTGACAATCCCACCCTCGATACGCCGATATGACGGTGACTTTGGCTTTGCACCAGTACTCACCCACCACCACAATCACCAAACCACCTTCTTTCACCCTATAAAATCATCCGCTCGTCCCGAATATTGTTGAAGACGGCACATACATTGATGGACTTGATCAGACGTCCAGAATTAATTAAAATGGAGCAAGATGGAGTAAGCAGCGTGTTCTTTCCTCAAAGCGAATACATTTTCTCTCCTTTGTAATCTTTTCAACTATGCGGGCACGCACTACTATAGAAGTTACCAAATTGGAAGCTTCTAAGAAAACGGTGCAATCAGGCCTTGAATAAGAAGAAGAAGGTATGTCAGAGCGGTTCAATAATCAAAGACAATAAAAGTTGTTTTGTTCATCTAAAGGGTAACAGGAGGTTGGCACAGAGAAACCGAGTTTTGCGCCACTCATTCTACGACACCATTACGGTTTCCACGCTCTCATAATGCATCAAGGATTGAATGCTCAGAGTTCATCAGTTTGTTTTGAAATGTGTCATGTATTCGACTCTTGCAGGTCTCCTCAATTGTCTCTGCGCCGCGATGAGACGCGCACGGCAGCGCATTTGTCAGTAGAGCACGATTCTACAGGCTGCCACTTGCAGGACTTTACTGCTTCCCAATGATGCTGCCTTCACTTTCCGAACTGATTCACTGGACAGGATTGACTGTGTTCGAGTTATGGTTGCATGCCGCTTCACTTCTTGCTTGCTTGGTGATGCTTGTGAGTTTTTTTTCTTATTTATTGTCAAAGTTGTGATTATTCAGCAGTTCACATCTCGAAAGGGTTGCTTTCTCAAGAGTGAGGTTTAATATTTTTTCTCTCTTGCACCCCCAATTCTGGTTCAACAACAACGCAAAACGTAACTCATTACATCAAAACGGCGATTGAAGTGAGTGAACACTTACATTAACGTTCGCGAGGGCGAAGGGATTCTACGGGAGGATGTTGGAATAACGGTGCTGCTATACAATTGGGTTGGGCACGCCCAGCTTTTCAACGCACGTCAAGTGGCTGCCCTCACCCCCCCCCACCCCCTAGATTGGCTACACTCCCCCTGGCTCACGAATTCCCGATTCTCGTGACAGTATAGTAGCAAGCAGCAGTTCCCACTTACATACATTTCTGTTCAAAAAATGCGGCGTGCCCACCCTACTTGTATAGCACCTGAATACCTTTGTTCTCGTTTCTCCCATCCTGGGCATAGTCCAAGTGTCACCTACCAGCGGTTTTCAGATGCCCTAATTTTAATGTCCTCCCTAAGGCGATGAGCGCTTTCATAAGTTTTTTTGTGCTTAAAACGCATTCAAACCTGCTGCCCTGTAGGCTTCGAAACTCTCCAGGCTTTGCTGAACTATTTTGTGATTAAATCTAAATCTTTCATATAAGACTTGGAATGAACGAGCGTGACTCAACTAGCATTTTTTAGCCTTATGATTGCACAGTTCTAGTACAGCTACACTGATGGTGCAATCCTGTTTTGATTCGTGATCATTGTCCGCTGTTTCAGGCTCTAAAAATACATCAGATCTGTGCGATGTCGTATTGGCTGGTATTCTCTCCTCTTTTTATTGCCAGTGCTTTCAACTCTTATTTCGTATTTATCATATTCGTCCGATCCGTGTTTGAGTACAAGGACTTCAAAGGACCAGTGCTTAAGTTTGTACCTATTTTATGCACTTTCTGTACCCACGACGGGTCCAAATCCAGTAAGCATTACAGGGGAGGGGGATGTGATGCACAGTTGCCTGCCGCTCACAGATATCCGATTTTGCAGGGCAGGAAATCTCCAGGGTGCGCATACTATTGCGCTTTGGCTTTTACACCCACCCCGGAGCTTCTTTCCCTGCGAAAAAAATTGGTTTACTCAAAGCGACATTAATATCGCTCCACCTCCCCCTTATTGGATGAAGTCCACACAATTTACAGTTACATTCACATTTATTACACATTTATATAGACATTTAAAGGAGCGATCACTAGCCAATTCCTGGATATTTTAAGGGAATAACAACAAACTAAGACAGGGTTTATCCCAGTTAGGGGGGGGGGCGTCATGATGCAAACCGATCTCGGCAAACTAGTGTTAACCCTTTGACGACAATGGCACCCACCGGTGGGTGCCACTATGACCGTCGCGTGGGACAATGGCACCCAATGGTGGGTGCCACCCTAAAATTTTCTTCTTTACCCATTTAAAACATTTTCAACATATCAGTAATTATAAGCAAGCTCCGTTACGCCTATGTTTAGCATATTTTGCAGAAATGTTTGTTACTAGCTAATTTATAAAATTTTAGGATATGGCACTTCGCTCGGCGATGTATTATATTAATTAGTGTTTTACATTATTAAGCGTAAGGTGAATAACAGACAGGAATCTCTACGTTTTTTCATAGGTTCTCTAAGGCATCAGAGGGAGCTTGAACTATATCAAAAATCCTACTGTACATCTAAACTTCTACAGTTTTCAAACACCACTCCTTTAAAATCCGAGACTTCCTTTCAAACCTCCACTTCTAATTCCAGCAACACATGATCATAAAGCTTAAGACTGCAGTCATATTTTGCTGCTCATTGTATAGTAAATTTTGAGTAGAAGATGCTTTTCAGGGTAAATTTCGCCCAGTGTTTGGTGCGCCGGTGGAGCCGTGGGCGGCGCGCCAAAAGGAGGCGTGGTTCCACAAGCAGGCTACATGCAAATCCGCATTGTCGTCGAAGGGTTAATTGGAACATTGGAGCTTTTCACGCATGTCAAGTGATTACCCTAGCCTCCTCCCCTACCATTTTAGAGGAGCGCTCATGACAAGGTGCACTTATGTCACGTTGGCTTTGCGCGTAAGTTCAGGAGACTGTGCAATGCTTACGATTTTTGAATGGGGCCGTGGTGATGGAAGTTTGGGGAGAGTCATTTTTGAAAATCATGGCTACACTCCCCCTGGCTCAGGAGTTACCCTAGCTTTGCTGGATAACTGGCATTCGTGCATTTGCCCTCCCTAACTGGAATAGATTTTCTAAACATGTACTCACTCGTACATAATAATGATGAAAACCAACAAACCTTCAATTAAAAAGTGATGAAAGAAGCCGACTGTTGTACCACATGTCCTTTCGTTCAGGGCTATACACATGTGTAAAAATATCAGGTGTTCTCCCTTTTTCTTGTGTGGTCTACTTCCCTCCTCTTCTAGCCTCCGCCACTTTTTCTGTTTCCAACCTCGATTTAGTGTGTTCGCGCGAGATGCGCAGTACTGTCACTGCTCATGGCCGGCGGACAGAGGAAATGGTAATTGAACAGGACCTACCATTTTAGAAGGAGCCTCATGACAAGGCTGCCACTTATGTCAACCGTTCTTTGCGCGAAGTTCAGCGAGACTGTGCAGTGCTTACGATTTTTGAATGGGGCCGTGGTGATGGAAGTTTGGGGAGAGTCATTTTTGAAAATCTTGACAAAATTTCACGATCGCTTTTGCTATCACCTTAAAGGCCGATTCTCTTTGTGAAACGGACGTTAGCCTGATTTTAGCCGGGGATGTTGAACTGAGGGCTCGTAGGTTACCGTTCGGTATGCATGTCAAAATTAATATCCTAAAATGTTCCATTCAGATTCGGATTCAATGTCATGCGACTCGCTCTGATCGCCTTGTTTGAAGTATTGTTGTGCTACAAAGTTGAGGGTGACTTCGAACACGGTCAGGTAGCAGTACGCTCATCTTATGGTATTGTATTCACACCCATCTGGATACTTTCTCTTGCGTTGTGTATACAAACATGTAGGTTGTTTTGACGAAATGCAATGCAATAATAACACTCAAATATGCTTATTTTTGTTGTTCGTCAAAAAGAACGTTTTTGTGATCTCTGTAGTTAACGGGTGATGGAATAGTTTCAAGGTTTCTATTTGTAATAAACATTTTATTTAACAAATTAGCTTGGTCAATAGAAACAAATATAACCACCCGCGCAAAGCCATTCAAAAACGAGCTGTAATAAATCAACAATATGGTAAATATGACATTTCAAACCTGTAAGAGATCTGGCTCTTGGTGAATAGTAACAAAAAATGAGCAGAAATGAAACCTCAGTGATAGGATTCGATTACAGAATTGCAGTTGAAGAACGATTTCTCGTACATCTTCGTGCTTCCATCCCCAACTTACGTCAATGTTCCACTGTATTCGAGTCCACTCAGTAACTGCAAAGTCTATTCGTCCACCTCATCACATGAGTCGCAATCTAGGTATTCCTCGCTCAAGAACTCATCGCGTGTAACTTGTCGCAGTTTTAGTGGCAATTTTCTGTGCCAAATGTGGTAATCGGACGCATCTGCTCGGTCGGATTTGGCAAGCTCCTCTAAGCGCCGCTCCTGAAGAGAAAGTTGTCATTGCCTGGAAATAGTGCACCTCAGGGATTTTAGCGTGACCAAAATTGATAGTACAAAAGAGACTGCAGACTACAGAGGTGGAAGGGGCAAAGAACCTTGCCTACTGCCAAGCACCAAACTTCATCACTAGGGTGCCCCTGTCGATGAAAGTATTTTGCCAGTATATTCCCAAAGATAACCCTCC